ACGAGGCATAGCCAGATATGAAGAAAAATAGGATGACACGTAGGAATAAGTAGTGCTCGAATCTAATAGAACTGAAGCATCTCTATGACAAACTGGAACAATACATGTGATGATGGCGTTAGATGACTCGACCTCAGGTCTAGTTGGAAATGCATAAAAACGGGGCTGGCCTCCACCACTCTGACCTCCACCCCTCGGACGACCTCTAGCTGGCTGGCCTCCGCCTCTAATGGCATGACCTCCACCTCTAATGGCTTGACCTCCCCTCATATGGCCTGACTCCACCTTTGGCAGCCTGCCACCTACCTCTAGCTGGAAAAACGGATGGTGAAGCAACTGGTACCAGAACCATGGCACGATAACTCTGTTGTGGCATGCCGCCCTCTGACCTGGGGCAAAATCTAGCAACGTGCCTCGGATCTCCACAAGTATAACAAGCCCTCGGCTACTGTGACTGCTGACCCTCGAATTGACCCTGTCGACCTGAATAACTACCCTCGTAACTCTGGATCGAGGTGCACTGTAGGCTAGCTGCTTAGGATGAGACACATAAGGACCATGACTCCTCGAAGCACCGTAGGATGCCTATCGCACTGATTGAAATGGTCTACGAGGATAGCCCTTACCAAATGAACCCCAGCCTCCAGAAGAGGCACCATTGAAACTACTAGAAAGATGAGGCCTCTTCTTAGATACCACCCCTTATACTGACCACGAACCACCTCGATCCATCTAGAAATCTCTACGGCCTTCTTGAAAGAAATATCATCTCCGGTCTCCTTGGCCATCTGTAGCCTTATACTAAAAGTAAGTCCATCAATGAATCTCCTCACTCTCTCCCTCTCAGTAGGGAGTAATCGGGTCTCATAATAGGTAACAATCATGCTACCCTGCTGAAGGCGCTCAAACTGCCTGCAATACTTCTCTCTCAGAGTGAAAGGAATAAATATCTCCAAAAATAGTTGCGAAAACTGATCCTAGGTAAGTGGGGGTGAACCAGGTGTACTCAACAATACCCATATTGTTCTCTACAATACCCATATTGTGCCACACCTCAAAGTCAACCCCATTGGTCTTAACAATACCCATATTGCGCTACACATCGTGAAAATGGTCCAAATAATTCTGTGGGTCATGAAAAGGTGCACTACTAAAGTGAATAGGGAAGAGCTTTGTGAACTTATCTAATATCATCAATCCCTCAGAAGACATCGCGAGCATCTTCCCGGTCTGTGCAGCAACAACAGGCTAAACTACCCCAACTGGATAGACTGCTGGAGTCTGATAAATAGGAGCCATCTGCTCCGGAGTGTGAGTAGCAGGAGTCTATGCTCCTTTCCCAGCCTGAGAGATGACTGGTGCCACCTGAAATGCACCGATCTAGGCCACACTCTCCATAAGGCCCACTAAACGGACTAGAGCATCCTGAAGCACACGAGTGGCTATAAATCGCCTGGACCCGAGCTGGTCTGACTGGTGCAGTATGAGCTGGGATCTCCTCTTCATGATAAATCTGAGGCTCCATTGTGGGTGTTGCTTCTCGATCTCTAGGCTGAGCTCTGCCTCTGCCTCTGCCTTTGGCTCGACCTCGGCCTTTAGCTAGACCTCGACCTCGGCCTCTGGCTCTCCCTCGGCCTCTACCTCTGGTAGTGGCTACAACAAAGGGGCTCCGATTTCTGTTCGGCTATAGATGCTGTATGTGTTCTCCCCATCTGCGAGAGAAAAATAATTGAATGATGCAAACAACAATGATATAATAAAACCGAACGATAGGGAAAGAAAGAAGTAAAATTTTTGCTAAAACTACATAGCCTCTACATAAGTACAGACGTCTCCGTACCGATCCTCCAAACTTTACTAAGCTTGTTCATGACTCGTGAGACCTAAGTAACCTAGTGTTCTGACACCAACTTGTCACGATCCAGAATTCCAACATTGGGCCGTGATGGAACCTAACATCAACTTACTAGGTAAGCCGATGTGAAATAAGTAATTAACCAATTTTAACAGTTAAAAACAAAATAATGATATTCAACAAGAAATAAATGCCAAATCTAACACAATGCGAATATAAATAACATGATACTATCTACTCATAGAAATCCCGAGTCACGAGTACACGGGCAACTAGAAGTCTACAAACGTAGCATGAAATAAATACAACTGTCCGAAAGAGATAAATAGTAAAACCATGAAATGGAAGGGACTTCAAGGTCTGCGAATGTCAGCAAATTTACGTTAAGTCCCCAGAGTGAATGTGATACGAGCCGACATACGTGAAGCACCGTTGGGACCAATACTAGTATCTGCACAAGAAGTGCAAAAGTGTAGTAAGAGTACAACCGACCCAATGTGCTCCGTAAGTGTCGAGCCTAACCTCGACGAGGTAGTGACGAGGTTATGACAACACACCTACATAAAAACCCTATAGAAGTATATATAAAGCAGCAAAGTAACAAGAAAAATGATAGAATATTAACTAGGAGGGGACATGCGAAAGAGGAAAATATCATAAAACAACAAATACGAAAAAATGAAATAACATCTTCTGAATTAAGCAACAATATAACCAAGTAAATCACAAAAATCGGGAATAAAATAAAACAATGAGATGAAAATGGCATGACATCATACTTTGTGCTTTTACGCTCGTCCTGACCATGCAATATCATAAATATAATGGCACGACATCACCCTTCGTGCTTTTACTTATTGGAACGGAGTCACCCTTTGTGCTTTTACTCTCAAATCTCTCAATATATGACAGTGAGTGCTAATAAGACACGACAACACCATTTGTTCTTCTCTCTCTTCCTCACCAAGCAATAATATAAATCCGAATAATAAAAACAAGGTAGGGAAATATTTCACTTCAAATATGATGCCATGATATCAAACTTCAACTACAAAAATATTCAACATCTTTAAAATAAATAATAAATGCAAAACGAATAATTAAAAGAAGTAATAATCTAACCTAAGCATGGATAACATAAATACAACAACAACAACAGCCACAACCTAGTAAAATCCCACAAGTGGGGTCTGGGAAGGTAGAGTGTACGCAGACCATACCCCTACTCCGGAGGGGTAGAGAGGATGTTTCCGAAATACCCTTGACTCAAAAAGACGAAAATAAACAATAGACAATAGATCATTAACCGCAATAGAAGTCAGAAAAATAATCTCAGCATCATAAGAGACAGAAAATAGATAGAAAATCTATAAAAATAACTAGTAATAATGTCATACAAAAAAGTGTGAAAACTACATAAACCACTAACAACCCAAGGTGAAACATTATCAGCATAGCCCCGCATCTGGTACAAAGAAGAAAAATGCTCGACTCCCTCATAACCTACAACCCTAATGCTCGACTTCCACACTTTCTTATCAAGAGCCATGTCCTCGGAAATCTGAAGTTGCTCCATGTCTTCCCTGATCACCTCACTCCAATACTTCGTAGGCTTTCCTCTACCTCTCCTCATACCTGCCAATGTCAAACCCTCACACCGCCTAATCGTGGCATCTAGGCTTCTCCTTTGCACGTGCCCAAACCATCTAAGCTGTGCTTCCCGTATCTTGTCATCCATAGGAGGCACATCCACCTTCTCCCGAATATCTTCATTCCTAGTCTTATCTAGCCTAGTATGCCCGCTCATCCATCCCAACATCCTCATTTCTTCCACTTTCATCTTCTGGGTATGAGAATTATTAGCTGCCCAACACTCAGCCCCATACAACATGTCTGGTCTTACCACCGCTCTATAGAACTTGCTTTTATGTTTCGGCGACACTTTCTTGTCACACAGGACTCCAGATGCTTACCTCCATTTCTTCCACCCCACTCTTATACGGTGCATGACATCCACGTCTATCTCCCCATCCTTATGGATAATTGACCCAAGATACTTGAAACTTCCTCTCTTGGGGATGACTTGTGAGTCAAGCCTCACGTCTATGTTCACTTCCCCCAACGCATCGCTGAACTTAAACCCCAAATATTCTGCCTTAGTACTACTCAACTTGAAACCTTTAGACTCAAGGGTCTGTCTCCAAACCTCCAGCCTCTCATTAACGCTGCCTCGCATCTCACCAATCAGAACTCTATCATCAGTGAACAACATACACCATGGCATATCCCCTTGAATATGGTGTGATAGTGCATCCATCACCAGGGAAAATAAGAATGGGCTGAGCACAGAACCTTAGTGCAACCCCATAACAACCAGAAAGTGCCCCGAGTCACTTTCTATAGTCCTAACCCGAGTCTTAGCTCCCTCACACATGTCCTTTATCACCCTAATGTAAGCTACCGACCCATGTTTTACCTCCAGGCATCTCCAAAGAACCTCCCTAGGAACCTTGTCATACGCTTTCTCTAGGTCGATAAACACCATGTACAAATCCTTCTTCTTATCCCTGTACTGTTCCACCAACCTCTTGATAAGTTGGATAGCTTCTGTAGTAGAATTACCGGGCATGAACCCTTATTGGTTATCGGATATAGACACCTCCCTCCTCACCCTCCCTTCCACCACCCTCTCCAAACTTTCATGGTATGACTTAGTAACTTGATGCCCCTATAATTGTTACAATTCTGGATATCACCTTTGTTCTTGTACAACAATATCATTGGTAGTCCACCTCAATTCATCTGGCATCATCTTCATCCTAAAGATAGAATTAAATAGCGCAATCAGCCATTCCAATCCCGCTCTACCCATACACCTCCATAATTCTACTGAATTTCGTCCTGCCCGGTCGCTCGGCCCCTACTCATCATGCACATTGATCCCACAACATCTTCAGCCTTAATACGTCTACAATACCTAAAGTCTTGGTGACTCTTGGAGTGCTCCAATTCCCCTAGCACAATGTCTATGTCTCTTCCTTCATTCATAAGTCTATGGAAGTGATCCTGCCATCTCTGCTTAATTTGGGCATTTTCTATCAATACTATACCTTCACCATCTTTGGTGCACCTCACTTAATCCAAGTCACGAGCCTTCTTCTCCCTCACCTCCTTTGACCCCCAACTCCTCGTACAGATAACCAAACGCTGCAGTCTTAGCCTCTGTGACCGCTATCTCCTTCCTGGCTTCCTTATATCTTCCTCTATTCTCTCTTCTCTCTTCCTCGTCTTTGCTCTCCACTAACCTAAGATACAACGCTTTCTTTACTTCCACTTTACCTTGGACCACTTCATTCCACCACCAATCGCCTCAGGGCCTGCCAGAGTAACCCTTTGATACCCCTTGTACCTCCCTCGCTGCCTTTCTTATATAGTCCACTGTTGATGTCCACATCTCGCTAGCATCCTCTCTACTCCTCTAGGCTTCCATAGCCATCAACCTCTCCTCCAACTCCTGAGCTTTATCCCTCGTCAAGGCTCCCAACCTAATCCTTGGTTGACACTGAAATGAATCTTCTTCTTCCTCTTTAATATTATACCAAAGTCTATCATCAAGAGCCTATATTGTGTCGCAAGGATCTTAGTCGGGTTAACCTTGCAATCCTCGCACATCCTCCTATCACATCTCCTGAGGAGGAGGTAATCAATCCGAGTCTTAGCCAAAGTACTCCGAAAAGTAACCAAATGCTCCTCCTTCTTTGGAAAACTAGAGTTCTTGATCACCAACTCAAAAGCTCTAGCAAAATCCAACAGTGAAGTACCTTCTCCGTTTCTATCCCCAAAGCCGAAGCCGCCATGCACCTCGCCATAGCCACTAGCAAATGTCCTTATATGCCTATTGAAATCCCCTCCTATAAATAACTTCTCCACAAGTGGCACACCACACACCACCTCATCCATCCCCTCCCATAAGTACCTCTTAACCTCCTTATCTAAGCCCGCTTGTGGCGCATAGGTGCTAATAACATTCTGAGTGATCCCTCCAACCACTAACTTAATCGCCATTAATCTATCATTCACCCGCCTGGCCTCCACCACTGTCTCTCTAGTTCCCTATCCACCAAATTACCCACTCCATTCTTACCCTTCTTGACTCCCGAGTACCATAATTTATACCTATCCCCATTCCTCCCCTTCGATCCCACCAACCTAGTCTCCTGAACACAAGCTAATAGATAATATAATTAACGAAACCATATAATACAAAGAAACAATTTCCACCCGCTCGTTTTAACCCAATGATAATGCATAGGTAATCGTCACCTCACATATACGCTGTTCCCAAACATAAAACACGTAGAAAATAGACCAATGTGTCCTAATCCTTCAAGTCACAACTAACCACGATACTTACCTATCTCCATAACCAAATGAATGCTCAACCGTGGCTTTTCCTCTAGAATTAGCCTCCAAACTAATCAAATCTAACCAAATATAGTTCAAATAATTCAAAATAAGCTTTAGAAACTACCTACGACTGAAAAAGATTCAATCTTTAACGATTTTAGAAAAAGTAAACAAAAGTCAACCCCGGACTCACTTGGTCAAAACCCGAAATTTGGACCAAAATCCAATTACTCATTCACCCCCGAGCCTAGTTATGTGATTAGTTTGTAAATCCGACCTTAATTTGAGGTCTAAATCTCAATTTCTCAAAATCCCCAATTTCTACCATAAAAAACATAGATTAAAGGTTAAAAATCAATGGGTGAAATACCCATTGGTTAAAATCTACTAAACTATGAAGTTGGGGTGAAATACCTCTTCAAAATCACCTTTAGGCCGAGCTCAATCTTGAAAATGATGAGAAATGGGAAAAATCCCTATTTTTGTACTGTTTTAATCAATGGCGTCAGGTCTTCTTAGTGTTCGAGAAGGACCTAATGTGAAGCAGCATCAACCAAAGTCCTTCACGTTCACAAGCCACTCTTCGCGTTCGCGAAGGCTTACTCTCCCTACCTTCGCGTTCGCGAAGAGTAACTCACATGCTCCCTCCTAGGACCCCATAACCCTATGCGTTCGCGAGAGAGAGGACGCGTTCGCGAAGGGTAAACCTTTCACTACTTCGTATTCATGACTGGATCCTCCCGTTCGTGAAGATGAAACTCCTCCCTATCTTAGATTCCCCTTCGCGATCGTGAAGCACATGACACTAGATATCAGTACTAGCCAAAACAAACAATTCTTTCTAAGTTAAAATGGTCTGTAGCCTATCCGAAACTCACCTGAGCCCCTCGGGCTCCAAACCAAACATGCACACAATTGTAATAACATCATGATAACTTTCTCTCAAGATCAAAACACCAAAATAAAACCTAAAATTACGAATCGGATATCAAAATACATGAAAGTTTTAAAGAAACTCAAGATCTTCCAAGTTCGCAACTGAGCGTCCGAATCCTATCAAATCAACTCCGTTTTGTACCAAATTTTGCAGACAAGTTTTAAATAGTAAAATGAACCTATACCAAGTTCCGGAAGTGAAATCCAAACTCAGTACAATAAATTCAACCTACGATCAAACCTAGGTAATCTTTAAACCTTCAAGATGCTAGTTTTCAACAGATCACGTGAAATTAAGTTAGAGACATTCCGAATTCAATTTTGAGCATACTGTCGCACCCCGTTTTCTCATGAAAGTAGGTTTCAACATCGTGACAACTCCTTTTAGAATGGGAGATACAGTTCTAAAAGAAGAAAAATTGCAACCTAAGGATTTTTAATGTGCGTTAGGGAACCTAATATACAAATAACTCTGTTTGACTAGCCAATGTCACCAAAGATTGGGTAAGGGCTCAAATTACCTCAAAGAGAATGTGTTAGGCACTCTTCGAGGTCCAAACTGCGGGTCTTGACCGAACTTAAGATTATGTGGATTATGATTAAGCTAGGTGACCAAATAAACAAAGGGAATTCAGAAGTCAAAGAACTTTATTACAATATGATTAACATAGATCTTAGTACGAATATAGGGGTACAACTATTTAGATCTAATAACAACGTATAAAGAAAAGGGGTCCTAAGTTTATTAGCCTAAAGGATCACCCCGTGCAACATAAATAATACTTCGCAACTCCCTTAGGATAGGAAGTTACCCATATTATTCAGCAGGCATATACTATCATCTCCTGCTACCCGATTACTATGTTAAAGTTGTTTACTTAAAGCGTGCTAATTCAATTCTAAGTTGTGCTCGATACGTGCACTACCCATCCCATACCTATGGCCTAGGAGGTATTGGACCTCTATTTGGGTGGTTCTAGACCTTACTGAGGCTGCTCAGAAATGTCAAAACTAGGCGACATAGAAAAACACATTGGACTTCAAATATGGGCAATTAAAGGCTCAAGTTTGCCTCCATAGTTAAGAAACAAATGCACACAAGACAAGTTTTCATGTTAGGCAATTCAGAATTAAGAACCTTAAGCCCATTAGACATGATTTCTATGTGACAAGGCATCAAAGCATACAAGCAATTTCAGAGGCCAGTCACTGCTCATAGACATAATTATATACGTTGATTATTGAGATTATAGTTTTTCAGTTATTAAACTTGTTGTGTCTAGGTGATTTGCACAGTAAGGAGTAATTATGTGATGACCCAAAAGGTCATCTCTTGTTGTAGAAGTCAAATCTATGTTTTGAGGCCCTAAAACCTCCTTTTATTTCTCCTCGATTGCGTGCACAGTTCGGGCACGATACCTGAAAGCTTTTGTATGAAAAATTTGAGTACTAATGATTTTTGGCTTAAAAAGATGATTTTAGTTGACTTCGGTCAACACTTTGGGTAAACGAACCCGGACCCGTATTCTAACTGTCCCGGAGGGTCCGTAGTAAAATATGGGACTTGGGCGTATGCTCGGAATCGAATTCCGAGGTCCCTAGCCCGAGAAATGAATTTTTGAAGAAAATTATTTAACTGAAAATGTAATGGGTTTTGAAAATTTAAATAGATTTGACCTTGTTGGTATCGAACCTGTATTTTGGTTTTATTTCCAGAGCCCAGTACAGCTCCGTTATGATATTTATACCCTATCTACGAAATCTGGTGAAAAACATAGGTGATTTGATGTGATTCGAACCATTGGTTGAGAAAATAGGATGTTTAAAACTATATTGAAAATTTCATGAGTTTTAATGCTAAATTCATTGCTTAAGATATTATTTTGACGATTTGATCGCACGAGCAAGTCCGTATGATGTTTTTAGACTTGTGTGGATGTTTGGTTTAGAGCCCCAAAGGCTCGAGTGAGTTTTGGATAGGCCGCAGAGTGTTTTGAGACTTAAAGAATTAGCTATTTTGTTGCAGATCTGCAGACTCCTGGCTCGCAAATGTGAGCATCGCATTTGCGAAGTTTCATTGCATTTGCGATCAGAGGGCAGGGAGGGGGACCTTCGCATTTGCGAAGTTCATCATCGCAATTGCGACTCCAACAGTCACTGCATTTGCAAACAATAGTTCGCATTTGCGAAGGCAGCAGGTCAGGCCATGCTTCGCATTTGCGAGTTCGCATTTGCGAACCTGTGATCGTAAATTCGATATCTACGACTGTGTAAATCATAACTTAGACGGGATGTTCATCCATTTTTCAAATATCTCGAACCCTAAACCTCCCTGGACAATTATTCAAAGACCCAAACTTCTCCAAATCATAGATACAAGTGGATTGGTAGTGGAATCGAGAGGTAAACCAGTGATTGAGTGTTGAATTACCCATTGGTTTGAGGTAAGTGTTTGGTCTAACTTTGACTTGAGGGAATAGGAATCCCCGACTTGTTTTCTATTTGAGATTCCATGTGTGTGGCGTTTAGGTGTGGTGATGAGTACCTATGCGTCACCAAATTTCCATTTTTAGCTTGTTCCCTTCCCCGTTTCCTATTATACTATTTCTTGCCTTAATTTCTACTTGATCATAATTGCTTCCATGTCTTAATTGCTATTTGATCATATATGTTTCCATGTGTAATCGCTTCATACTAACTGTTGTTCTCTTTATTGAAGTATTTAATTGTTTTTTGGCATCATTTTATTACACTATTATCTTATATTGGCTTGTTGGTGCCTTATGGTACACCTTGGTTGGTCTCGCTGAGTAGTTTACACTGGTGAAGTTTCATAATCTTAGTGATATTCCATTGTGTGGATTGCAGTATAAGTATATCAGAGGATTTGATTTAACTTGTGAAACACTTGTCTCTATTCATTTGTGATTGATGCTGATATATATATATATATATATATATATGTATATGTATATATGGATCGGGTTGCATGCCACAACATGAGAAATAAGGGTAAAATGTGATTGTCTGGTGGGATCGGATTGCACGCCGCAATAAGGAGTAATAAGGATGGACAGGTGGGATTGGGTTGCGTAATAGGAGGAATAAGGGTGATATGTGTTGAGGAGCAATAAGGATGGACAGGTGGGATCGGGCTGCACGCCGCAACAAGGATGAATAAGGGTGAATATTTATTCTGTTGTTGGTTATATGATGGGATAGGGATGTGCACCACATCAGTTGTTGTTATATGTTCATATCTGTTGAGATTTGTTATTGTGATGTTGAAACACCCTTAAGGATTGGTTATAGCTGAATACTAGTAGAACAGTTGGGTTCCGGATTTATTTAATGCCAGTTATTACTTTATTACATTCTGTATTTCCTTTATGTTTAGTATAAACTGTTGCAGGTTATATATGTTGTATGGCCCGCCGTATCCTCGTCACTACTTCGTCGAGGTTAGGCTCGGCACTTACCAGTACATGAGGTCGGTTGTACTGATATTGCACTCTACACTTTTTGTGCAGATTTTGGAGCTAGTGGCTAATCGTGAGGTTGGTTGCTATCACTGCTTCTCGGAGGCCCAAGGTAGACTTGCAGGCATCTGCAGGCCCTGGCGTCCCCTTCTATCCTATTTCATTTTTGTTTTATCTACTTTCGAGACAGATGTAAACTTTTGTTCAGAATATTATTTATAGTACTCGTAGACTGTTCGTGAG